TCAGAAACCACTGCTACAGACTATTTGAGCCTTCAGGCAGTCATATGAAACACTTACTAACATGATTTTACAAGGTGTGGCGGCTTTTTTGTTGAAATTGTGGTGTGAAGCTGTATTATATAAACAGGACCATAGAGTAACAGATGCATCATCTAGGAGCTTGTTGGGTGTGCAGATTACCTGACTCCACTCCAGGCATGTGGGGTCAGAACCTCCAGAATGGAGTCCTGGATTCTGTATTTTAACAAGGTAATTACTCTGCACATTACAACGTGAGGAGCACGGGTGTGAGGATTGCCTATTGTTCAGACATGGGCCATGATGGTACTTGGATTACCACCAAAATGCCAGGATAAAATGTTGGTGATTACTTGGAGGTGTGAAATATCAGCCTGGGAAAAAAATGCTTGTTTGAGATGGGTTATCTACAGAGAATGAAATATATGCAACATTAGGTGAGTTCACTCTGCCACAAAATGTAAAATTCAAACTTATATTTTAACCAAAAGGCTATGGACTCCCAATTTCATAAGATTTTCTGAACCTCTTAAGGATCATGAAGATGGAAACTGTGAGGAGAACAGCTCTGCTAACTTAGTGAACCCAGAACTTGGTTAGTGGCAGACATCCTTGAACTTTAGTGGCAGACAAAATAAAATTGTCTAGCCCTGTGTTTTTTGTTTTTTCAAAATCTACCAGCAGCTCTCTTCTCTTTTCTGTGTATATAAAACAGTTTAACTCGAGATTAAAACTCAAGTAAAGCAGCGAATCCTTCCTTTGTCTGTTGCTTTACTTGCTTTATGTCCCAACACTATGCCACTTGTAGTCCCTCCATGCACTATGCTGTTGGTCTATTTGCTTTCCTCTGTGCCTTTGATGATGTTTCCCTTCTCTTTGGAATGTCTTTCAAACATCTTCTCTACCATTGTTCCTTTTCTTATCTCTCTGTCCCTGCCCAATCCCCCACACACCCCAGGATGGATGAAGTCCCTGCTTCTCTACCCTCATACCTGAGTCTTTTTCATAGCGACTGTTGGGGTATATGGACATTTTCTGTATGTGTGTGTGTGTGTGTGTGTATGTGACTTTCTACCCTACTGAACTCTCAGAGGCTTAAGGATGAATACTGTCTTATTCACATTTGTAAATCCAGCTCAGATCCAGTGCCTGCCACTTAGTGGGCACTCATTATAAAATTTGATAAACTTAACTAATCAGATCACACAAGGTCATGAACTTGAAAATCAACAAATACGTGTCTCTTAGTGGCCTCAACAGACATGAATGTGACATAGATTGTGAACTAAAAGCCAAGCACTTTTTTCAAAGAAAAGTCCCTCAGGTCCTACACACTCTTATTTTAGACACTATTAAAAAACACTGCTTGCTTATTTGATTTCCCAGCACACAGAAAATTAAAAGCAGCAATTTGGAGGCAGTAAGAGAGTGATGCTAGAGGCAAGCATAGTAACAAAAAGAAGTTATAACTGCTGACTCAAGGTTATGCAAAAGTGATGCCAAATGTACAAATGGGGCACTTTTTTCAAAATTAAATTACGGATAACAACCTCCAGTATGTTCTTTGACTAGAGATAAATTAAATTACAAATCAATTATTTTTAAGGTTATGTGTTTGGACATTACCCATGTACTTGCAAATAACTCCCATATTAATGGAGCAATCACAAAAATGTAGGAAATATTTTGAATTAAATAATAAAAATATGACATGGTAGAGATGGTAGATGTAGTTATAACAGGGCGTAGGAAGAAATGTACAGCCTTAAATGTATAAATTTGAAAATAGAACAAAGCTAGGAAAAGAAAACAGAACAAATCAAAAGAAATGAGGAATAATAAAGAACAGATCAAGGATCAATGAAATTGGTAAGGTACTTACAATTGAGAAAATGAAGAAAACCTAAATTTGTTTCCTTGCAACAATTGCTAAAATTAACTTATCCTCTAATGACTGATTAAGCTTGTGGCATTGCATCAGTTACAGATCTCTGGATTCTATGTATTCAATAAAACAATTTCATAAAGAATGTCTTTCAATTATTCATTTAATAGTTATTTATTACCTGCTCTCCACCAGTGAATCAAAAAAGAGAGTCCTGACTTTAAGGATCTTCTGTTATTAACGCAAAAAAAATCCCAGAAAATAAACAATTAAAAAGCAAAAATGTAATCATCAGACAAATATAAAAATCAGATAAACAAGAAAACATACCAGTTAACCATGAGTTTTTTTGCAGGGAGTGTGGTCAGAGTATCTCCCTAAGTAGAGTAAGAACAGAGGAGTGAAGACCAGATTTGCAGATCGATGATGTCTTCTCTGTAAGGAGTAGATGGAAAAGGAACGAACGGTCAGCAAATGGAGCCACTGTCTTAATGGAAAACATTCCAAGATATGGCTCTCTGCAGATTAGAAATACAAAGTCAAGGGGAATTTATGTCTTGTTCCACATGGGAATACTGGGGAATATTCCAGGAAAGAGAGAGAAATTCTGATCTAACAGAGAGATGTAGTGAAGTCCTTAAGAAGATGAAAAGAGAAGAGGAAGAGAACAGGACAGACATTTTAGGCAGTATGTTTTAAGTGTTCAGAAATTTCGCTTCCCTATTTTTCTTTCTTTTTATTTGTCTCCCAGCAAACTGAATTGAATGCCTCTGCTGATATCTGGTTACAAAGTTTATTGACTACACTGGTTGAGAAATTTATGTATGGGTTGAAATAGTGAAGGAGATGTTTGGATCTAAAGAACGTTAAGTAGCTTGTCTTTTCTAGACTTCTGAGGTTTGGCATTGGAGTAACAAGGAATCTGTTCATGTCTTATTTGAAATATCAAATGATGAGATAAGTTCTTCAAACAAGATAAAAAATGCATTCAGGAAAAAAAAAATCCAGAAAACTGCAATAGGAAATTTGCTCTCCTGATACGCTTATTTCTCAGCGGTTCCCCCTACCCCAGCCCCACTCTACAGCTTTGCCACATGGATGTGAATAGTACTAGTTTCTATTGAGAGTAGATAAACTGGGAAGGGGTATCACCTAAATTTAGGACTGTATAAGCTGCTCGTGTGAACTTTTCTCGAAGAGTTAAAGGTGGACTGGGGCATTAACTCATTCCGTTAATTTGAAATGTGTCCTCCGACCAGTACAATCCTCACAGACACTTCAATCATACGTGCTACCCCAGCTTAGATAGAGAGCTAGAGTCAGGGCTCTCAGTTGCCTCAGAACATAATTTCACATTACCGAAAAAAAAATTCCAAAAGCTTTAGTATCTTGTCAAAAGTCCTCTGCAGTCTGGACCACATACTTTCCTACTCTTTCTCATCTGTATCCGCAAAAAGTGGCGTATATGACTGGGAGTTTTAAGACCTTAACTTTCAAATATGCAGTTTTCTAAAAGTAAAGTGTATCTATTAAAAAATGTATTTGTCTAGAAAAGAAGCTCATGGTTTCCAGTCTTCCCCTCTACAAACTCCCTTCTCTCACTTTACAGAGAGTGACATGCCTCTCATCTGTTTTTAATATTTTTTTGTCATTAAGGTGACAGTTCTGTGCTGATTTGCTAGTGTCAGTCTGGGCTATGCTTGTTTCTCTGGCTTAGTCATTAATATTGCCCACGTTTATTCTCAATTTGGATGATAATCTATACAGTCACCCTAACTATGGTACATTGCCCCAGAGGGCAAATAATTGAGGCACCCTCAGATATAAATAGAAGTAATAAGGTTGGTATTGCAAAAGTGAATGACACTAATGACTAGGTAATAAATCGTCTTGTTCAGGTTTCCTATTATTTACTTTCAACACAATGGAAGAAACCCTAATAGAATTGTCAGATGATAGATTATTAAAAATAATTTTGAAGACTGATAGCTATATAATTTTTGGCATATAGCTATTAAGAAGTTCAAAGAACTGAGAAACCTTGCTAAAATGAAACAGCTTCCATTACCATCTATTTATGTGAACGTATTTTCTCAACACATACCTAAAAAATAAAAGGAAAGAAATAAGGAAATAAAATTGATGCTGATTAGTAATAAGTAGTAATCACTCACGTACATGTGACAAAAAAAGCTCGATCAATCTCACTAAGGGATTTATTTTAAGCAAACAAAATTATTATAATAAATATTTAACAAAACTTGTGACATTATATTATTTTAATTCATGTACTACTAATAATTATAACTCAATTCCAAAGAACTTTTTAAAACTTAGACTCTTGCAATCATAGACAATTGAATTAAATTTCACTTTGTGTGTAAATTACATTGAATATCATTTTAACTTGGTCACTCATAAGGGACTCTAAAGCATAAATGTGTATTACTTGATGATAGCAACCTATGGAGGTAATGGAATGGACGTATATGGTCAAGGAGTAAAAAAGGATAATGTAATAATGCCTAACTGTGAAAGAAGTGTTTATTGATGTGTTTTGTAAATGGGAGACAGTGGTGTCAAACTTCTAAGGTATTTAGATTTGATGGGATATATTTAAAGGAGTGAAATAATTTAATTTTAAAATGTTTGTATTTAAAAGATATGATAAAAGTTCTAGATGTCAATTTAAAAATGACCAAGGTGGCATAGAGTTTTGCAAAATTCTTTTGGCTGATATGGGAACAAAAATGCATGAAGACCACTGATATTGAATTCCACATACTTCCCTGAACCTGCCATGACCGTCCCTTGAGTCTGCGTGTCACTCTGTACTTGGTCTGTGCAAATTTCTCTCCAAAACTCAAGCACACAGTGATTTCCTACTCATTCACTAAGATTCAAATCAAGCACCATTTCTCCAGGAAGTCTACTCCAAGATTTTCTTGTTTTAAAGCAGAACCACATTGATACATATATCATAACATCACACTTTAAACATTTACCTACATGTATTATTGGTATTAGACTGCGAGAACCCTGAGGACAGTGTCCAATAGTTCTATGTAATCTCTCTCTCTCTTTTTTTTTTTTCCAGAGGAGGAGTTGGGATTATTCTCCTTATTTGAGTGCTTTAATGAGGACCAAATGAGTTAATATTTTAAAGCACGTGGAAAGTGACTGGAAAGATGTGTTTACCAAATGAATAAATAAATAAATGCACATGTACAACCATCACAACCAATAGCTTCAAAGTAAAGGAAGCATTGCTATAACAATAGGTAAATGGTAATTTCTATTAGAATTATTTTTTAAATTTTTATTTATTTATTTATTGCAGTAATTTTGGATTATAACATTACATAACTTTCAGGTGTACATCACAATATATTTTGAATTCCGTGTAGATTACATCATGTTCACCACCCAAAGACTAATTACAAACCATCATCACACACATATGCCTAATCACCCCATTCGCCCTTCTCCATCCTCACTTGCTCTATGGTAACCACCAATCCAATCTCTGTTGCTATGTTTGTTTGCCATTGTTTTTATCTTCTGCTTATGAGTGAGATCATATGATATTTGACTTTCTCCCTCTGACTTATTTCACTTAGCATAATACCCTCAAGGTCCATCCATGTTGACACAAATGGCCAGATTTCATCATTTTTTTACAGCACAGTAGTATTCTATTATGTACATAGACCACATCTTCTTTATCCATTCGTCCCTTAATAGGCACCTAGATGGCTTCTAAGTTTTAGCTATTGTGAATAATGCTGTGAGGAAAATAGGGGTGCACGTATATTTACACATTTGTGTTTCCATGTTCTCTGGATAAATACTCAGCAGTGGGATAGCTGGATCATATGGTAGTTCTATTCTTAATTTTTTGAGTAATCTCCATACTGTTTTCCATAGTGGCTGCACCAGTTTGCACTTGCACCAGCAGTGTACGAGGGTCCCCTTCTCTCCACATCCTCTCCAACACTTGTTATTTCCTGTCTTATTAACTATAGCCATTCTGATAGGAGTGAGGTGATATCTCATTATAGTTTTGATTTGCATTTCCCTGATAGTTAATGATGTGGAACAGCTTTTCATGTGCCTGTTGGTCATCTGTATATCTTCTTTGAAGAAATATCTGTCCAGATCTTTTGCCCATTTCTTAATTGGTTTGTTAGTTTTTTTGTTGTTGAGATGTATGAGTTCTTTGTACATTTTGGATATTAACCCCTTATCAGATATATGGTTTGCAAACATCTTCTCCCAATTGTTAGGTTGTCCTTTTGCTTTGTTGATCTGCAGAAGCTTTTTAGTTTGATCTAGTCACATTTGTTTATGTTTTCTATTGTTTCCCTTGCCTGGTCAGACATGGTATTTGAAAAATGTTGCTGAGACTGATTTCGAAGAACATACTGCCTATGTTTTCTTCTAGAGTTTAAAGGTTTCAAATCTTACATTCAAGTCTTTAATCCATTTTGAGTTGATTTTTGTGTATGGTATAAGATATTGGTCTACTTTCATTCTTGTGCGTGTGGCTGTCCAGTTTTCCCAACACCATTTATTGAAGAAAACTTTCTTTTCTCCATTTTATGTTCTTGGCTCCCTTGTTGAAAATTCATTGTCCATAGATGTGTGGGTTTATTTCTGGGCTCTTGATTATGTTCCATTCATCTGTGTGTCTATTTTTGTGCCAGTACCATGCTGTTTTGGTTACTGTAGCTTTGTAGTGTATTATGAAATCAGGGAGTGTAATACCTCCAGCTTCATTCTTTTTTCTCAGGATTCCTTCAGCTATTCTGTGTTTTCTGTTGTTCCATATACATTTTAGGATTCTTTGTTCTATTTCTGTGAAAAATGTCTTTGGAACTTTGATAGGGATTGCTTTGAATCTGGAAATTGCTTTAGGAAGTATGGACATTTTAATTATGTTAATTCTTCCAATCCGAGTACATGGAATATCTTTACGTTTCTTTGTGTCTTCCTCAGTTTCTTTCAACAATGTTTTATAGTTTTCAATGTATAGATCTTTCACCTCTTTGATTAAATTTATTCCTAGTTATTTTATTCTTTTTGTTGGAATTGTAAATGGGATTGTATTCTTAATTTCTCTTTCTGTTACTTTGTTGTTAGTTTATAGAAACACAGCAGATTTTTGTATGTTGATATGGCTTCCTGCAACTTGACCATATCCATTTATTCTTTCTGAAAGTTTTTTGGTGGATTCTTCAGGGTTTTCTATATATAAAATCATATCATCTGCAAATAGTGACAGTTTCACTTCTTCGTTTCCAAGTTGGATCTCTTTTATTTCTTTTCTTGCTTGATTGCTCTGGCTAAGACTTCCAAAACTATGTTAAATCAGAGTGGTGACAATGGGCATGCTTATTTGGTTCCTATTCTTAGAGGGATAGCTTTCAGTTTTTCTTCATTGAGAATCATGTTAACTGTGGGTTTGTCATATATGGCCTTTATTATGTTTAGGTACTTTCATTCTATTCCCACTTTATTCAGAGTTTTTATCGTAAATGGATGCTGTATCTTATCAAATGCTTTCTCTGCATCTGTTGAGATGATCATGTGATTTTTATTTTTCATTTTGTTAATGTGGTTTATCACATTGATTGATTTGCAGATGTTGAAGCATCCCTGCATCTCTGGAATAAATCTCACTTGATCATGGTGTATGATCTTTTTAATGTATTGTTGTATTTGATTTCATAGTATTTTGTTGATAATTTTTGCATTGATGTTCATCAGTGTTATTGGCCTGTAATTTTACTTTTCTGTGTTGTCCTTGTCTTGTTTTGGGATCAGGGTAATTTTGGTTTCATAGATTTAGGAAGCTTCCCCTCCTCTTCAATGTTTTGGATGAGTTTGAGCAAGATAGGTATCAAGTCTTCTTTGAATGATTGGTAGAATTCACCAGGGAAGTCGTCTAGTCCCAGACTTTTATTTTTTGGGAGGTTTTTGATTACTGTTTAAATTTCTTGACTGGTGATTGGTCTCTTCAAATTCTTTATTTCTTCTTGATGCAGTTTTGGAAGGTTGTATGAGTCTAAGAATTTATCCATTTCTTCTAGATTATCCAATTTGTTGGTACATAGCTTTTCATAGTATTCTCTTATAATCTTTTGTTTTTCTGTGTCCATTGTAATTTCTCCTCTTTTATTTCTAATTTTATTTATTTGAGACTTCCCTCTCTTTTTCTTGGTGAGTCTAGCTAAAAGTTTGTTAATCTTGTTTATCTTTTCAAAGAACCAGCTCTTAGTTTCATTGATTTTTTTTCTATTATTTTTAGTCCCTATTTCATTTATTTCTGTTCTGATTTTTATAATTTCCTTCCTTCTACTGACTTTGGGCTTTGTTTGTTCTTCTTTTTCCATTTCCTTTAGATGCACTGTTAGATTGCTTATTTGAGATTTTTCTTGTTTGCTAAAGTAGGCCTAAAATGCTATAAACTTCCCTCTTAGAACCGCTTTTTCTGTATCCCATAGATTTTGGCATGTCTCCTTTTCATTTCATTTGTCTCCAGGTATTTTTTTATTTTTCCTCTGATTTCTTCATTGACCCAGTTCTTGTTCAACAGCATTTTGCTTAATCTCCATGTATTTGTGGCTCTCCTGATTTTCTTCCTGTAGTTGATTTCTAGTCTGATACCATGGTGATCAGAAAAGATGCTTGGTATTATTTCAGTCTTCTTAAATTTACTGAGACTTGTTTTATGGCCTAATATGTGATTAATCCTGGAGAATGTTTCATGTGCATTTGAAAAGAATGTGTATTCTGTGGTTTTTGGATGGAATGTTTTGTATATATGTATTAAGTCTATCTGGTCAAATGTGTCATTTAAGGCCAATGTTTCCTTATTGATCTTCTGTTTGGATCTATCCATTGGTGTAAGTGGAGTGTTAAATTCCCCTACAATTATTGTGTTACTCTCTCTTCCTCCTTTTATCTCTCTTAATAATTGCTTTATATATTTAGGCACTCCTATGTTGGCTGCATAGATATTTACAAGTGTTATATACTCTTGTTGGATTGTTCCCTTTCTCATTATGTAGTGCCCTTCTTTGTCTCTTATTAAAGTTTTTGTTTTAAAGTCTATTTTGTCTGATATAAATATTGCTACTCCAGCTTTGTTTTCCTTGTCATTTACATGGAGTATCTTTTTCCATCCTTTCACTTTCAGTTTGTGAGTGTCTTTGGGTCTGAAGCATATCTCTTGTATGCAGCATATTGTATGAGTCCTTTTTTGTATGCGTCAACTACCCTGTGCCTTTTGATTGGAGCATTAAGTCTATTGAAATTAGAGGTAGCTATCGATAAGTATTTGCTTCTTGCCATTTTGTTTCTTTTTTTTCTGGGTGTTTTAGTAGTTCTTCTCTGTTCCTTTCTTCTTCTCTTGATCTATTAACTTGAGGTTTGATGGTTTTCTTCAGTATTATGTTTGGGTTCCTTTCTCTTATTTTTTTGTCTTTATTATAGACTACTGATTTGTGGTTACTATGAAGTTCATATATAATAACCTACATATATAGCAATCCATATTAAGTTGATAGTCTCTTTAGTTTGTTCTCTTGCAAAAAGCTCCACTCTTTTACTCCCCTCCTCCCACATTTTATGTTTTTGATATCATATTTAACCTCTTTGTTTGTGCATGTGTGTCTGTTACTCTCTCATCATGGAAATAGGTAATTTTAGTACTTTTTGTTTTTTGATCTTCATGTTCTCCTCATAGGTGGTTGATCTGATACCTTTACTGTATTTTTGCCTTTACCAGTAATTTTATTGCTTTAAAAAACATTTTATTATTCCTATTGGTGGTCTCCTCTTTTCCACTTAAATAAGTCCTTTTAGCATTTCTTGTAAGGCTGGTTTCCTGGTGATAAACTCCTTTAGTTTTTGCTTGCCTGGGAAACTCTTTATCTCTCCTTCTAATCTGAATGATAACCTTACCCCGTAGGTTATTCTTGGCTGTAGGCTTTTTGCTTTCAGCACTTTAAATATATCATGACACTCCCTTCTAGTCTGTAAGTTTTCTGCTGAGAAGTCAGCAGATAGCCTTGTGGGGTTTCCTTTCTGTGTAACTTCTTGCCTTTTTCTTGCAGATTTTAGAATTCTCTCTTTATCTTTAATTTTCTTGACATTTTAATTATAATGTGTCTTGGTATGGCCTCATTGGGTTTATCTCGTTTGGTGCTCTCTATGTTTCCTGTACTTGGATGTGTATTTCCTTCCTTAGGTTAGGAAAGTTTTCAGCTCAAAATTT